CAGAATCTGATCAGGCATCAGCAAACAAAGAAACTTGTTAAACAACTTCACAGGGATGCAATTTTGAAAACATACATCATGGGAAATTCTACAAAACAGTCTGGTTTCTTCAACAACAACACTGCAAGGAACAAAGCATACAAAGGGATGGAAGTGTAATCTGCAAATCACAGACCTAAGAGGCACATTAACCAATGCCAGTGCGTGAACCTTATTTGAATCTGGATTCAAACAAATAAACCGCTATTGGTTCTATTCCTCTGGAGAACGCTAACTAATACAGCGATGGTAAGGTGTTGTAGTTATCTTTAAGAGTGCTCATCCTTTAGAAATACATATATGAAATACAGATAAAATGATATGATGTCTGACATTTGCTTCAGAATAATCTTAGGATGGAAGGAAATGGATAAAGATTTAGATGAAACAGATTGGCTATCTGTTGGTAATTGTTAAAGCTGGGTGATGAAAGCATGGGGTTTCCTCATGGTATTCTCTCTGCTTTTGTATATGGTTACAGTTTTCTTTAGTAAAAAATTAAAAAATGGAAGAAAATGAAAAATAGGAAATTGAAAAATATTAGTAGTGTGGGGGAATTACTTTTTCTCATAACAACTACTGTAGAATCATTTGACTCTTTATAATATGTGTATGTAAAACTAAGTATCTTTTAAAAATTAAAAAGTGAAGAGAACCTACCATATATATAACATGTAATGGTGAAACTTTAGGTGCATTCTCATTAAATGTAGAAACATCAATGATGCCTGCTCTTTGACATTGTACTAGAGTCTTAACCTTTGCAATAAGACAAGAAAAAGATGAGCTAAATAGAATGGGAGAAAAAAAAATTATTGTTGTTTGCAGACAATACTGTGTGTATAGATAATCCAAAATTATTTACAAGCTGCAGGAAAACTGCTGGATATAAGAGCAAGACACAAAAATCAACATTGTTCCCATATACTGGCAATAACCAGTAGTAACTAGAAAATGTGGTATAACAATATTATATACACAATGGCAACAGAAACTGTAAGATACACAGAAATAAATCTATCAAAAGGTGGGAAGACATTTTTGAAGAAAATTATAAAACATTATTGAGGGACATAAGAATAGACCTGAATGAAATCATAAATATATTAATTATCTCCCAAATTAATCTCTAAAGTCAATGCCTCAAACCAAAAGCTCAACAACAGAACTTTTTTGGAACTCAATAAACTGATAACAAATTTCACCATTTCAAAATTGTGAGAAACATTTAAAAAATAAGAACAAAGGGAGGCTTGTTTTTACCAAGTATTAAGGCTCATTAGAAAGCTGTCGTACATAAGATAGTGAAATATTGGGACAGGGATAGAAAAATAAATTAATAGAATAGGCCAGAGATTCCAGAAATAGCCTCACATGAAATTTGAAATAATATATTATACAGATGATAGTTGAAAAATGATGGACAATTCAATAAATGGAGTAATTGGTTTGCCCTGCTGGGGAAAAAATGAAGTTAGAGTCTTACTCCACACATAACACAAAAATAAATTCCAGATGGATTAAAGCTCTAAATATGAAAAACAAAAGTTAAATTTGTTAGAAGAAAATACAGGGGGAAATATTTCCATTCTCAAAGTACAGAACACAAGACACAAAAAGCCAAAATAATAAAAGGAGGAATTGATTGCATCATAAATTAAATTTTCTGTGTAACAAATGACCCCATCCAAAGCAAAAAGATAGTGACAGATTAGAGAAGATATTTTCCAACATATCAGAATATATAGGGGTCCTACAATTTGATAAGGAAAACAACCTAATAAAAAGTTGAGCAGAAGATATGAATGATTTACAGAAGAGAAAATCCAAACAACAAATAAATACAAGGAAAGATACTCAAAATACTTAGTAATCAGAGAAATAAAAAAGAAAAATGAGATGCTATTTTACACCTATCAGGTTGATAAAAATTAAAAAGTCTGAATGTGAAGATGTTGGGAAACTGAAATGCAGCTGGTTGGACAACTAATTTAGTACAACTAATTTAGAGATAAAATTCAGGATATGGTCCTACTTAGTTGAAAACTTATAAATTATATGACACAACAATACTTATACTCAGCATATACTTCTAGATATACACCTGGGAGAAATTCTGACACGTGAACACAAACAGGCATATGAGAACATTCCCTGTAGCAGTTAAAAATGAATGAACTAGATCTACCCTATGTATCAGCATAGACAGATGTCAAAAATAACGTAGAATTTATTTATTTATTTATTTTTGGAGACGGAGTTTTGTTCTTCTCATCCAGGCTGGAGTGTAATGGCCTGATCTCAGCTTACTGCAACCTCTGACTCCTGGGTTCAAGTGATTCTCCTGCCTTAGCCTCAGCTGGGATTACAGGTGCCCGCCACCACGCCCAGCTAGTTTTTGTATTTTCAGTAGAGATGGGAGTTTCACCATGTTGACCAGGCTGGTCTCAAACTCCTTACCTCAGGTGATCCACCCACCTCGGCATCCCAAAGTGCTGGGATTACAGGCGTGAGCCACCACGCCCGACCATAATGTAGAATTTTAAAAGCGATTTCCAGAATAGTACAATGTATCATTTATTGGAAGTAAGAGAATGGGGACAAACATAGACAGCTGTTTTGAGAAGTGCTGCTGTGATATGGTAGGGATTTTAACAGCTGGAAGTGGGAGTATAGTGGCTGAGGAGAGTTATATTTTTTTTTTTTTTTTTTTTAATGAATGTTACTAGAGCTTGTTTGCAAATGGGTGGGAATGATCTGGTAGAGAGACTGAAAAATCACCTACAAAGAGCGAAATCCTTTGGAAGGTGGAAGCTTGGGCTCCAAAGCACAAAAGGAGGATGCTACTACACTCTAGGCAGCTAAATGGTAAGTGCCAATGGGATGGAATGAAGGCGCTGAATTTGTAGGCTGTTGCAGAGATAGAACCTTCAAGAAGTAATGCTAATTTGCTGTTTGGTGACATTGTAAAGGGGAGTCTGGTTAAAAGGCAGGACAAAGGCCAGACGCGGTGGCTCATGCCTATAATCCCAGCACTTTGGGAGGCAGAGGGGGGTGGATCACCTGAGGTCAGGAGTTCGAGACCAGCCTGGCCAAAACGGTGAAACCCTGTCTCTACTAAAAATACAAAATTAGCTGGGCTTGGTTTGATTGCCTGTGAACCCAGCTACTTGGGAGGCTGAGGAGGGAGAATCTCTTGAGCCTGAGAGGTGGAGGTTGCAGTGGATTGAGATCGTGCCATTACACTCCAGCCTGGTGACAGAGCAAGACTCTGTCTCAAAAAAAAAAAAAAAAAAAAAGCCAGGACAAAAGGACCTACCTATGGTCACAGACTCTGCCCTTTCTGAGAGTCTGGGACCTTGCTATTGTTGCTCCTAACCTCTAATTTGCTCCAGGGAGAGTCCTAATAGTCCATCTGGCATACTGAAGATGATGTGAATTCCACAGCCAACACCACACAACACCTTCTCTATTGAGCTGTAAGCTGCCTCTGGACTGAATGGGGTTTTGTTTTTATTCTTACCCTCAACACCAGTGCCTCTCACACAGAATTTAGCCAAGCCAGTTAGGTGCTAAGCGCTGCTGCTGCGCTATCAGAACGGCACACGGGGCTGGTTCTAGACCGGCCTCTGCTGCTTACTCGTTCAGTAATCTTCTTAGAGCAAGTTCTTGAACTTCTCTGGGCCTGTTTTCTACCTCGCAGGGTGGTTAATTGCGTTTAGGATCTTGGAAGCACCTAACGCAGGAAAAGCACATAAGCCAGAAGTCTCTTGGGGACGCAAATACCAGGAATTTCTCCCGCTGTCCCCGTCGGTCAAGCGCACCAGGGTTCTCAGGTCTAGCTCCTTCCACCCCCCACGTCCACAAATATCCTCACTTTTTCTTACTCTCCCTATGCCTCGCAGTCCCTCAACAGGGTCTGCGATCAGACGTCACTCCCAGGTGACTGCCAATCAGGCATGCCGCCTAGCCAACCTGGCCATCCTTGAAGATTGTGGATCCTGCACCGGCTAGCCGGCTGGCAGGGGGCGCGCCAACAGAGCCGCCAGCCGAAGTGCCCCTGCGTGGGTGGGAGGAGTAACCGCCTCTCACCAACCCACAGGGATGACTCCACCTGTGGAGAGACAGCCCGAGAGTTCCAGGGTGAGTGCGCATTGGAGCTTATCTGCCTGCCTGCCTGCGGGTCGGTGGATCCTGCCGGCTGCTGGGTGCTGGCTGGCGTCGCCTGCTTGTCTCGCTCTCTGTCCCTCGTCCGCTACCCATTCTGGCCCCCCTCCCTCCAGCAGCCTGCCTCTCGGTCCTCCAGCCGGGTGGTTGCCTGCGAGCTTCACTCCGCCCTCCTCTGCTGGAGCCAACTGGCGAGCCGCAGGCCGCCGGGCTCGGCGTGAGAGCCCATAAAACCCCATCCGGCCGCTCCGCTGCGCTCACGCAGCTGCTCACCAGGCAGAGCCAGCGGGCTTGGCTGGGACTTCCAGCCCTGAGCGCGACACCGACAGCCCCGGACCGCGCCTCCAAGCAGGCTGAAGGGCTTCCGCTCTTGGCTTCCAGAAAAGTTTGGAGAAAGTGAATTTGAGGTGGATTGGAGAGTGGTAGCCCCTCCCCAGCCTTCTTTCCCTTCCAGAAGCCTCACTCTGCATAGCCTCCCCCATTCCTCCCGTCCAGATTCCCTGTCTTCCTGACCCCTCCTTCTCTCTCTCCTGGGTCCCCTCTCCTCACTGGGATCAGCGATCCCAGTCACATTGTCTCCTTCCATATTTCATCCTCCCTCCTCCTCTCTATCCCTGTCCTCTGAACGATTTCCAACTATTTGCAAGCCTTCTCCCTGTCATTCTCACGCTTCTCCTTTCTCTCCGCCTTCAGCCTTTCCTTTGCCACTCCATTTTATCCATCAAACCTCTCCACTTGCATCCACATCCTCCCTCCATCCTCCCTCCATCCTCCCCTCCCAGCATACCTTGCTCATGGATTCTGGGCCTCTGTGGGATGCCAACCCCACTCCCTGGGGCACCCTCTCTGCCCCCAATGCCACAACACCCTGGTTGGGCCGGGATGAGGAACTGGCCAAGGTGGAGATCGGAGTCCTGGCCACTGTCCTGGTGCTGGCCACTGGGGGCAACCTGGCTGTGCTGCTGACCCTGGGCCAGCTGGGCCACAAGCGCTCCCGCATGCACCTGTTCGTGCTGCACCTAGCCCTGACAGACCTGGCTGTGGCGCTCTTCCAGGTGCTGCCCCAGCTGCTGTGGGACATCACCTACCGTTTCCAGGGCCCCGACCTCCTGTGCAGGACCGTCAAGTACCTGCAGGTGCTCAGCATGTTCGCCTCCACCTACATGCTGCTGGCCATGACGCTGGACCGCTACCTGGCTGTCTGTCACCCCCTGCGCAGCCTCCAGCAGCCCGGCCAGTCCACCTACCTGCTCATCGCTGCTCCCTGGCTGCTGGCCGCCATCCTCAGCCTTCCTCAAGTCTTCATTTTTTCCCTGCGGGAGGTGATCCAGGGCTCAGGGGTGCTGGACTGCTGGGCAGACTTCCGCTTCCCTTGGGGGCCACGGGCCTACCTCACCTGGACCACCCTGGCTATCTTCGTCCTGCCGGTGACCATGCTCACAGCCTGCTACAGCCTCATCTGCCATGAGATCTGTAAAAACTTAAAAGTCAAGACCCAGGCCTGGCGGGTGGGAGGAGGGGGCTGGAGGACTTGGGACAGGCCCTCACCTTCTGCCTCAGCTGCCACCACTCAGGGGCTGCCATCTCGGGTCAGCAGCATCAAAACCATCTCACAGGCCAAGATCCGAACTGTGAAGATGACCTTTGTCATCGTGCTGGCCTACATCGCTTGCTGGGCTCCCTTCTTCAGTGTCCAGATGTGGTCCGTGTGGGACGAGAATGCCCCTGATGAAGGCAAGTGGGGTCTGTGTGGGGGCAGTGAGGTGGGAGAGACAGGAAGAGAGGATGGGGGATTAGGTCAGGGTTACAATGCCTCCCAGGGCCAGGCAGGTGACAAACTAGTGGGGCAATGAAGAAAGATGGTGCCTCCTCCAAGTGAAAAGGGGCAGTTATGACTACCCTACCAATGCCATGTCAGTATCTTTTATGTGAAATTTCTAGCTTTAAAAATTTTGGTAACTAACAATTTTAAAATGCTGTGTGGTACTAGTGAAATATGGCCATTAGCACATTTGGCCACCAACTACCAATTTGCTGGATGGGCTTTAAAATCATAGAATGATAGCAATTTGTGGCCCATGAACTTGCTCTCTCAGCCTTTTCCCTCCTGCTCCTGGACATGCCTTTGAGCTCCTTCTCAACAGACTCTTCCAGTTAATTAGAGTTGGCACATGAAAACCCTGAAATTTCCAGTTCAACCTCTTCATGTTACTAATAAGGAAACAGAGGCTCAGAGAGGAAATGTTACCAGCTGATGTGGTGAAGTCCCGGATTCTTGGTGCCACAAACAAAGAATTGGATGTGACACACACAAATAGCAAAGTAGCAAAAGTTTATTAAGCACAGTAACACTCTCAGAGAGGGGAGAGCGGGCTGACCTCTGTGAAATGAGATCGGCATCAGTTTGGTGTACTTTGGGCCTTTTTATATGTTCTTTTTTTTCTCTTCCCTGAGCTGCTTAATCTTTAGCCAGCATCTGCCTTTTGATAGGTGGGTTGCTTAGTTACTTTGGCCCTTGTGCACTTGCATGTGGCCTTCATCTCAATTTTAAGTGCATGTATTCTATGCAGTACCTATGCATGAGCTTTAATGAGCTGATTCTTATATGGGGTCATTTTAGGGATACTTTTTCTCTCTAACACACATGCCCATCTCTGAGGAGCTGCCCCTTACTGGGTTGGTCTGGATCTAGCCAACCAAGGGGCTCTTGACTCACTTCATATAACTTTTGTTTTGGCTCAACCTCTGCTTTTTATCTTGCCTCTTGCTCACCCTCCTCTTTATCCTGCTTCTGCTCCTACTCATTCTGCTTTTTATCCAACCTCTAATTCCCTCTGCTGTTTTCCTGCCTCAGAACCATGACTTGCCCCAGGCCTCACAGCTAGGGAGTGACAAAGTGAAGAATAAAGCCCAAGTCTTCTGTCTCCTTGTCTTTTTCCTCAACCTCATTAATAACTCTGATTTTAAAAGTGGTTATAAAAGGAGGGAGACCTTTCTTCTGTGTGAAAAGCAAAATGGGAACCTCTAAGAGGACTGTGCTCCAGCTGGCACATGGGAGGCCTGGCTCTCATCATTTTTCTGAGAGATGAAATAGAGGAGAGATGAAATAGAGGAGAGGAGAAATAGAGGAGAGATGAAATAGAGGAGAGCCATTCATGAATTTAACACAACCATGCAAGAGAAGTGCAAAAGTAATACCAAACTTCCTTCTTAATACAATATCCCTTCTTAATCACCCTTTTGACATTGTCTGGGCAAGAGACTATTTGCAGATTATCCTTTAAGCAATGAGCATATTAATTCTAACCAACTGTGGGGACCTCCCTGCTCTAGCCAAGCACAGAATAGAAGGAAGGAGGGTTTCCTAGGTACAGGCTCATTCAGCCCTCATGCTACTGAGGAGTGGCCTTCTGTATTTTACATTTGAGTCACTTGAGACTCATAGAGGTAAAATAACTGGTCCAAAATGCCACTGCTAGTGAGAGACAGAGCTCGGGCTTGAATTGAGGTCTTTATGGGCCAAGCTTTATCCAGGTCATGGCTTTACTCCCAACATTGTGGCTTAGCCAGTGGCACTGGGGTGAGATGGTCATCTGCCTCTTTATTGAGGAGAAGATGGTGCTCCTGCCAGTTAGCCAGTGCAGACTTTCCTGCTTGCCCATGGTGTCCACCATCATCACCAACCTGTCCCTCAACACCTCAGCCCTCACTTGAGTACAGTGATTTACCACTTACCAAGGACTTATTTGGGCAAGGAATGCATGGGACAGTGGGTTGTCCCAAAGAGTTATCTTACAGACAATGTGCTCCCAGAAAAATGAAAGCCCTTGGGGCAGAAATTCATTACTTTAAACTTGCTTTCCAGTACACAAAGTTCCCCTCCATCGTATGCTGGCCTCCAGGCCCCCTGGCCCCAAGTCTTTGGTCAGAGCCTGCCTGTTTCCTTGTCCCTGCCCCTGTCCCCGACCATCAGTTGAGTTTCTGGCAAGAGGCAACGAAGGCCAGAACTGGGTGTGATGTATCTACCCTCAAGGGCTGGGAAGCGCAACCACCACTGCCTCTGGCACCTCCTCTGCAGCACTGCCTCTGTGGCATATCTCTAGCCCCTACCAAGGCCTGGCTCAGGTGAGCCAAACCAAACAGGCACTCCTAAATGAAGGAAACTGTGGAACTCCTTTGTCCCTGGCTTAATCTTGGACACTAAAGGCACACTGATGGAGCAGACAGGATGAATACTGTCCCCTCAGCCAAAGCCACTTCCCAAATCTTCCGCAATTTGTAGTTAGTTACACATTAACTAGGGAGCAGGCCAGAACTCAGGCAAAACGGAAGGAAGACTGAGTTTATTTTTGACGCTTGTCCCTTGTATTAGTCCATTTGCACTGCTATGAAGGAATACCTGAAACTGAGAAATTTATAAAGAAAAGAGGTTTATTTTGGCTTACAGTTCTGCAGGCTGTACGAGTAGCATGGTGCCAGGCTGGGTGTGGTGGCTCATGCCTGTAATTCCAGCACTGTGCAAGGCTGAGGCAGGGGGATCAATTGATTCCAGGAGTTCAAAACCAGCCTGGGAAACAGTGAAACCTCATCTCTACTCAATAGAAAAAAAATTAGCCAGGCATGGTGGCACACTGGTTCACCCCTGTGGTCCGATCTACTGAGGAGGCTGAGGTAGAAGGATTGCTTGAGCACAGGAGCCATAATCACACACTGCACTCCAGCCTGAGGGTCAGAGCGAGACCCTATCTCAAAAAGAAAATAAAAAAGAAGCATAGTGCCAGCGTCTGCTTCTAGTGAGGGCCTCAGGAAGCTTCCAATCATGGCAGAAGGTGAAGGGGGAAGCCAGCATATCACATGGCAAGAGAGGACCAGAGAGAGAAGAGAGAGGTCCCAGATTCTTTCAAACAACCAGATCTCATGTGAACTAACTGAGCGAGAACTCATTACCAAGCGAATGGCGTTAAGCCATCTATGAGGGATCCACCCCTGTGATCCAATCACCTCCCATGAGACCCACGTCCAACACCGGGGGTTACATTTCAATATGAGGTTTGGAGGGCACAAACATCCAAACTCTCTCTCTCTCTCTTTTTCTTGAGATGGAGTCTTGCTCTTGTCACCCAGGCTGGAGTGCAATGGCATGATCTCAGCTCACTGCAATCTACCTCCCAGGTTCAAGCAATTCTCCCGCCTCAGCCTCCCGAATAGCTGGGGCTACAGGTGCGCATCACCACGCCTGGCTAATTTTCTGTATTTTTAGTAGAGGCGGGATTTCACCATGTTGGTCAGGCTGGCCTTGAGCTCCTGACCTCAGGTGATCCACCCACCTTGACCTCCCAAAGTGTTGGGATTACAGGCATGAATCACTGCACCTGGCCGACATCCAAACCATATCATCCCTCCTCCACTTCCAGGTGCTTCCCACTCTACCTTCACTTCTGTTCCCTGAACCAGTCCATCCAGGCCCAGGTACCTTCAGCTTCCCACCTGTATGACTCATGCCCTCTATCAAATGTTCTCGGCCTATGTCTTCCCTTCTCTTGAGCCATGAGTTGCCACACCCATGAGCATGTCCCTGGGACATGTGCACAAGGAGTCAGTGTATCTGAAGCTTTCACAGTGCCTTGCAGAGTAGGCACTTGAGCTTTGCCTTTTATTTTGCTGGTTGAAGCTCTGGTGGAGTATAGGATCTCTACCCTGGAGCTGAAAGACTTCGAGTTGCAGCTGTTATTAACTGTGCTATAAAAACTAGAAAGCTTACTTCTAAGGTTCCTTCCAGTTCTGAAACTGCTTTCACTGATTCTACAACCTCCACTGAAGAGTAAGGTGACTCAGTATGCCACCTATGCCATGGCTATAACCATGACAGATCTAGCAGGAGGCCAGAGCTCATCCCAGCAGCTTTCCTGTTGCCATGAGGGTTTCATTTAGTCTTTAGAAAGAACGTTTTGTCTGGAAGGAATCTTATAGCCTTGGCATCCTCACATTTTGACTGCCCAAGAGAGAAATTAGTTTTTCCCTACAGAAAGGTACATTTCTTAGGCACAATCTAAGAATACAGAACAAGTTCTGGTCTGGAGAAGGATGCTTGGAAGCCCAGTACGTAGAAGCTGCCCCCTCAGCTGCAGGCAGCAATGATGACATAGGTGTCTATAGGGCATTCATGCTCCATTGACTGCCCCATCAGATCCCCAGCATTGGGCCTGGCAGAGTCGATGCCCACACACTCAATGACTGAATATAGAACGAGTGGGCCTGCCCCTGAGGAATGGAAGGGGACAGAGTCCAGGAGGCCATGTGAATCCATGATCTATGATGTAAGTGGGGATGGAGATGGATGAGGCCTGAGCTTGGTTATTTTCCCTGCCTGTTTTACAGAAGTTGTCTCATTCTAGGTCTACATTCATTAGGGGACTCAAGGTCTAAGTTTTGTTAAAAAGTTGGTTTCTCCTATCTGGGCTGATCCTATCCCTGACAACATTCCTTCTTCTCAATTAAACTTGAAGCAAACCTCAGCTCCTACCTTCACCCTGCAGTTACACAGCAAAAACGAGCAAACAAAATCAGCATGGTAAGACTCTGGAGCCAGGAGTCCCAGGTTCAAGTCTCAGCTGTGTGTCTCTCTAATTACAGGACCCTGAGTGACTCCCTTCTCTTCTCTAGGACTCAGTTTCCTCATCTGTTCCTCATTGTGGGGCCTGGACGCTCTCCCAGGTCCCTTCGAGCTGCCATTCTGAGGCTTCTCATGCTTCTCTCTTGGTAGATTCCACCAATGTGGCTTTCACCATCTCCATGCTTCTGGGAAGCCTCAACAGCTGCTGCAACCCCTGGATCTACATGGGCTTCAACAGCCACCTGCTACCGCGGCCCCTGCGTCACCTTGCCTGCTGTGGGGGTCGCCAGCCCAGGATGTGCCGGCGGCTCTCTGATGGCAGCCTCTCGAGCCGCCACACCACGCTGCTGACCCACTCCAGCTGCCCGGCCACCCTCAGCCTTAGCCTCAGCCTAACCCTCAGCGGGAGGCCCAGACCTGAAGAGTCACCAAGGGACTTGGAGCCGGTGGATGGGGAAGCCACTGAGGAGACCATCATCTTTTAGGAAAGACTCGCTGGGGTCTGGCACTGCCCCCAGGACTAGTGGAGGTTCTCTGCCAACCTCGGGCACTGGACATGAGAGCTGGGAGGGTGAGGGTTGGAGTTAGAGGAGCCCTGTCTGAAGCGGGGTGAAAAGGCCAGAGTGGGCTCCCTATCCTCGTGTCACAGCTGCCCCGAGAGTGAGGGCTGCCTCATGAGCTCCCAATCTCAGATGCTGGCAGTCAGGGAGAATCAAACTGCCAGTCTCCCTGGTCCTGCCATATTCACAGGGTGTCCATGCACACATGGTGTCCCAGATCTAGGCAGGCCTAGGATGGTGCCGTCTAGGGATCCACAGGGGGCAGGAACCCAGAGGTTGGCCTTGTGCTCTGGCTACCTGTCTCGATTCTAACCTGACTGGCACATCTCAGCCTAACCAGGAGAGGGGAGAAGTGAAAAACTGGGAGGAGGACTCTATTTGGATCTTGGATTTTTTTTTTTTTTTTTTGGTAGAGAGAAAATGGTTTCATGAAGAAAAGTGAATGAGTATGTAGGGCTTACCCTGTTGTGCCCAGCTGTCTGTTGAGGGGAGGTGGTCTCATGGAGATGCAGGATTCAGTACAGTACTTGGTACCTAGCAGGATCTCTGCAAATGCCAGTTCCTCCTCTCCCCATGCCACCCCCTATGACAGCGTGGATGACAGGAGAAAGTGTTGTCTATTCTTTGTGGTCTGGTCCACTGTGAGTGTGGGTGGGAGGAAAGAGGGAGGGAAGCAGAAGATGAAAATGGTCATCATAAAATTAACAGCAGGAATAAGCCTCAAGGGCAGCAGGGACTTGTTGCCCTCCCTCCTTTCCCCAACCCACCCCCCAGGGAGTCCAGCCTGCTCCTTCCTCAGGGGCTACACCTTTGAGAAAAGGTGACATCGTCGTGGCTCTGGACACCCTCCAGGCTCTTCAGAGCTTCCCCCATGAATCATATGGATGCTGTGATCCAGTTAGGAGCCTAGGTTTGAATCTCAGTTCTGCCTTCAGTATCTGTGTGACCTTGGGTGAGTCACCATACATTTCCAGGACTCAGTCTCCTCACCTGTATAACAGGTGAGATGATCTCTAAGCTCCAACCTTCCACGATTCTGTAATCCTGAAAATGGTGTTACAGAGAAACACAAAGGAAAAGGTGTTACAGAGAAACACAAAGGTAAGCAACAGGGTCTAGAAGAGTTGTTGCATTTTTATGACAATGACATTGATATACTCTTTGACTCAATTCTGGTGATGGTGGGTCCCCCCATGGTCATACTGTCCACTTTTGTCCTCATCTGGGATGCTGAATCCTCCTCCAAGGCTGGGAGAGGCTATAGGCCAAGGGAGAGCCAAGGTAGACTTTCTGGACTCCAGGGGACTTTTATCATGGGGTAGCTTCCCCCCCCCAATTCTGATTCCAATTGAAGAGAGAGCCTTGCTGGTGGAAAAGACATCAGCTGAAACGTCAGGGGAGCTGTATCCTGGTTCTGCCACCAGCAATGACACACATCAATAAAATGCTGGCCAGTCCTTGCTAGCTTGGTTCTGGGAATCAAATAGGACTGTGGATATAAAAGTCATTTGTAAATTCATGAGCTCTATACTAATGTAAGGAATTACTAATCTAATTAAAAGCTCCTGAGGGAAGCTCTAGGGAACACTTTCGGTCTCTACCCTTGACTCCCAGGGAAGCTTTGAGGAATGACTGTGGCTTTGCGGATATACTTCTTTAAGAGGCCACTCAGCTTTAAGAAGCCCTGAGGCTTTCTAAAAAGAAAAGAGCCTTGCTGAATGTTGTGAGTGAGCAAAGCATCCCAGTCCTTCAGTGCTAGAGAACTGGAGAGTGAGACCCTAATGGGACCAAGGCTCAGGCATATGAGAGGACCCACAGTCTCCCTCTCACTGAGTTCTGTTGCCCATATCAGCCCCTGACATCCAATGCTTCTTCCCTGTCTATCTGCCCTGGTGAAGTGGGCTTAGAAGCCTTCCATGCCAGCCAGAGCTGTTGAATCTGCTCCCTCCCCTGCATACATAAGCAGCCTCCCCACCCCCTTGACCCATCTTTAGACCACAGTTTCTGACCCTAACGCCTAGAGTTGGTAAATCTTTGTTCTTCATGATGACTGGGAGGTAGAAAGAACACCAGCTGTGTGCCCCAAAGACCTGGGTTTGCATCTTGATCTCACCCCTTTTCTACCTGTATCAACTTAAGCAAGTTGTCCAATCTCCCGGAGCAATGCTTTCTTCACTTATTAAATAGAAATAGCAATGCCCACTTTGTTAGGAGGGATTTGTAAGATTAGATTAGAGATAGAACACTCAACAGATGTTAGAGAGGGGAATAACGGCCTGGCTCCAGATTGCGTCTGGTCAATAACCTCCAGGGTCCTGACCCAGGAGAGTCTACAGTTCAGAGAGGAAAAGAGGAGACAGACCTGGGATGGAGGCTAAATCACTTTTCTTGCCTACCCTTTGCCTTCTATAGATCCCCTCTTACTACTATGGTATTTTCTGTTTTGCATTGCACAAGAAGAATTTACTTGGGGTGGTGGCTTTGGAGCCCTCCTTGTTCCTCCCATGGAAAGGCTGCAGTTGATCTTTTCCAGAAAGCTGGTTCTGTCCTGTGATCTGGCCCGTGGGGAGCGACCGCACACTGGCTGAGGGCCTCGGGAAACCATTCCAGGAAGCTCCCGAAGGAAATGGTGGATCTCACTGGATCTATGAGTGTAAGTTCTGCAGGACCTCTAGGAGGCTTGCCTGGCCAGTCTGGGCCAGAGGAAGAGCCTTGGATAGGGTTCAAGGAGGAGGGGCCCTGTGGAAGCAAGAAGGAGGCTCTGCGCTCTCCGGGGTGAATCCCATTTCTGACAGCTAACCCCAGGAGAAGCTGAACAATGCCGTCTCTGCCGGGACACTTGTGTAAAATGTTTATGCCATCCTGTGACTGTGAATGACAGTACTTTAGTCCCTTAAAACCTATGTACAAGCAGGACATGGGGGGTAGACGGGACAGAGAGGAGGGCAGGAGGGGTTCATCGGTTGACTATGGGGATTTCTCAGAATCGTTTCTTACACAGTTTGGTACAGGCCAGTACTTCCCCAGATAATGTGTCTGTGTTTTCTATGTAAATAGGTCTTTTATCTACTACAGGGCTATAGATTCAGCCCAGGCTGTAGCAGTTTATTCCTGGGTGAGAAACCCAGGTTGAAATTCACCAATAAAAAGATTTAATATCCAGGAAATTCCTGTGCATCTTTAGTTTTCTAGGGACAATGATAATGGGATGTGCAAGATAAAATTAAAGTGTGTTTGTCTTGAGTGAAGGGGTGAGGTGGTTGGGGGAAGGGACCACCCTGCATCCAGTTTAAGTGGGAAAAGCAGAGTGTCTTCGAATTTGCCATGGGACCACAAGGTGGCAGTGTGGAGCCAAAAGTGGGCCTGGCCTGGGCTGGGCTTTACTTGGCAGCTCCTGCCTAAGAATCAGGGTAAGGCCCTTTCTCTAGCCAAATATTGCTGAGATCCAGTGCACATTCTTTAACTCTCCTGGAGAATACGAAGCAGTAATGACTTACAGGGAAGGCCAGGAAAGTCACCCAGCCTCTTAGCTTGTGAGTCCTCAAGTTCCAAAGAGTCTTGGTCCCTCACTTGACCCTGTTCTCCTGAGATAACTGGACATACACTTAGTTCTCTCTAGACCCACGGAGATTTGGCAAGGCAAAGAACAAGAGGTTTCTATTGCAAGGTGAGGAAATGAGTATAGGAATTCCTGCCCAAAAAGCAGCAAGACATATTAGTCAGTGTTTGAGGGCCCTAGTAGGACCTCAAAAAGCCACATGAGCTATAGTTACTTTACGGATTCTGGTTTAGAATCTGGAGGCATGGGTTAGGAGGCCTCCTTGAGTGTGCCTCAGAGCCCAGCAATCTGTCCCAATTCCAGAAGCAAAGAAACCCACTGATGTTGAGCGTAAAATACCTCCTCCCCCAGTAGGTCTTGGTGGCTAATAAGATGCTCATGGAATTTTGCTGCGGTTCCCATGGTATGCATTTGGATGCTTGCTCCTTTAGAATAAGAATTCATTGAAGACAGGTCACATTTATTATGGTCTACTGTGGTCTATATTCCTAGGTCATTGTTGGCATGTAATCCACCATCTAGTGGTTGTCAATAGCAAATCAGTTTTTCTGTGTCTTATTATCAGATAATTTTGGAAAAATCTTTGTCCAGTCCACGTCCTTGGAGAAACCCAGTGTGAAACAGTATAATTGTTCCTGGGAGGTACCAGTGACATATAACGTGGGAGAATGTGACTTCATTGAACTGGAAGCTATGCTCCTCAAAGGGTGGTTACTCATACAGGCGACTATTTGTACCGATTTAGATAGCTCACCCTTGAAGCTCATGGAAATATGACAAACAAAAGGCCATTTCATTTCTAGGTGGCTTGCAATGACTTTGAGGATTAGTTCAGTTTGTTAGCTGGCCCCAATCATTAGCTTATTGGCTCAAACTCCTCAGGAGGTGACATCAGCCTTCCTCTGTACTTACGAGGGCACCTAAGCAGTCATGTGCACTATTGAAGTTCTAAGCTCTTGGTAGAGTCACATGTTTAAATCTACTGTTAAACAGCACTCTCCAAGAATGCCTTCACTTTATAAGCAATCAGGATGGGTTCTAATATTAACCTCCATGATATATTCACTATTGAATGTCATATTTCTGAAGCAGAGTTTATTATAGAGCTTAATCAGATGGTCTATAATCATTCTACAGCCTCTGGTCTCTGGTCCCCCTGACGTCACCTCCCTGTGCCAGAGTATCACAGCAGCCTCTGAGCCCAGACACAGACAGTTCTCCAGACAGTGCCACTCAGGGCTGCCCCTCAGGCATTTATTGAGAGCCTGTAGCAGGTCAGATCTGTTCCTTTACTTTCTGCCTTTTTTCCCATCTGTTGATTTTCCACCCTTTTTTTGTAAACTGAGATCAGAAATCACCTCTTTCT